CACATATCCTCCATAGCCTCCAAGCATATGCAGTTCATCTGCGATAAACAGCTGCACGGATTGCACGTTCTTGCGTCTTTGCCATTGCCGTGACAGAACATCCCACTGCGTCGGCGTGGCGAGAACCAGATCTGCCTGGTCTAGCAATTTCAGATCCGCAGTGGTCTCTCCAGTCAGCTTGACGATATTCTTGCCGCCACCGAGGTTACCCAACCGCTTCTCCCAGTCCGCATGTCGTTGATCAATCAATTCTTGGAAAGGAGCGATATAGACGGCTCTGCCACCCTTTCCGGTTGCCCAATGCCGCAGCAATGCGAGCTCAGCACAAACAGTTTTGCCACTGCCCGTAGGAGCACCGAGGAAGACATTGTCATCGGAATCATACAGAGATTTGAAAGTTTGCGACTGGATCTTGTTGAAAAATTGCCACTCAGGATACAGCTGCTGGTAATCCTCACGCTTCAGTGCCTTGACAGGCGCCCGTTGCATGTCCAGCAGAGGAGTATGGGGCGGGAATCGCTCCGGAAGGATCAGCTTCTGGAAAGACACCGCAATCTTGGTCTCAGAGTGCATCCACCGATCGGAAACGAGAGAGATGAAGTAGTTGGGCGGCATAGGCTCGGTAATGGGAACTGTAAATTCGACCAGGTGCTCATTCATCTCGGCCTGCGCATAGTCCTTCCGGAGGATGAATTGATCATGGAACAAGATTTCCTCGCCGTCACAGTCCTCAACGAGGATCCAGAAATCTTGCGCTGTCCCGTGCAAAGCATCATCCCACACGAAATTCGGAGTAATGGTAAGCTCCACTCGAAGCAATGACCGGGTTACAGGTTGAACTTGCGCCTGGACTTCTAAACGAGGGAACTTGGACACGAGATCACACACCGTCCGTCCAGCCTTGGGCATACCAAGAAGTTCGCCCATGCGAGGAGGGTCGAGGTCGAAATAGCTGGACCAAGGCACGTCGATTCTCTCCGCTTTCTGCAGGATATCCCGGGGGCAGTTAGGGAATTGACGAAGTGGTGTCATGGTCGGCCACATCCGCCGTTCCGCCATCTTGCAGAGATCGAGAGCAGTCTTCGTGACAGACGACCAGCCTTTCTTCAAGGAAATCTCAAAAAGGGCCCGCAGAATACGACCCGCAGACTGAGTAACATACACCATGTCTGCCATCAAAGCAAGACCTTCTAGCTTCAGTCTGGAAATGTACGCCTGCAGCAAAACGTTGATCTTCGAATGAGGTTCATCAATGCTCTCCTTCACAGGAACAGGAACACGACCGAGAAGTTTCGCTAACTCCAACTTCTCGTCTTGTCGAACAGGGATGTACTTGAATTCGTCGCTGAGGGCGAAAATGCGGAAGAGCTCAATGGTCGAGATGGACGGTTGGATATGCTGAGAGTAGGTCAACATGGAATTGTGGCCGATGTAGTAATGCGAAGCAATTCGTCCCAATTCGGTGGATTGCAGACGTCCAGTCTTCTTCTCGTACTTGATAAGTCCGGCCCGTTCCAAGATGACGGCTGCGGAGTGAATTAGGTCAACTCGCTTTTGTTCCAACGCGTCGTCGTTCTCATAATCGGCGCCCACGCTGTACAGGCCAGGCGAACGGAGCATACGGACAAAAAGGTAAGTGTACCCCAGCCACTCCACACCCTCGTCACGGTTGCGGACGTTTCCAAGTACGATCTCCGCATTCATGTTATCGGCAAGTTTGCTCATGAGCTGACTCTCAATCGGCAACTGCTGGTTCATGAGGGAGAGGTAGTACTGAATTTCAGTTTGGGATGTGATAATAATACCTTCGCCAAATGTGTCGTATTGAGGTCGACCAGCTCGTCCCAGCATCTGGAGGACATCTTGGGGGCTAAGCTCGACCCAGCTACCCTTCTCCGGCGAATATACCTGAGTTCCTTTGATGATAACTGTATGCGCGGGAAGGTTGACACCCCAGGCAAGAGTTGCCGTGCATACGAGAACTTGAATGCTGCCATCAGCGAACAGCGCTTGGACGGAGTCACGATCCGCAAGACTCAGTCCTGCATGGTGGATACCGAAACCGTATGGTAACAGGTCTTTCAGCGACGCATCGTCGACAGACTCGGCTTCTTCCGCTAGAATAGCCCTGCTTGCAGCATCGCTACGCAGGATCTGGCCAATAGTCTCCATCTCCAATGCTTTATCCCTGATATACTTGGCCGTCTTCGCCGTTTCCTTTCGAGAGTGAACGAAGATGAGCATCTGGTTTCTTCGCTGCCCGACTTGCTCGAGAACTTTGTTATAGCAAATATCGTTCATCATCTTCAGCTGCTTGATGGCTTTCTTGTCGGTGACACCAATGAATTCCTGCTTCAAGGGGCATGGTCGATAAGAACCATCAAAGTGGAACAGGCCATTACTGGGGTCAACTCGTAAGAAGCTGGCCACATCACGGTAGTTTGGTAAAGTTGCACTGAGACCAACGATGCGGACAGGTTCTCCGGTCTGCTCTACCTTGCGAATTGTCCGACTAACAATGCTTTCAATGACTGGTCCTCGCTCGTCATGAAGCAAATGAATTTCATCGATAATAATCAGACGCACAAGCTTGATGTAACTCGTCTCCGACGCTTTTCTGGTAATGACGTCAAATTTTTCGGGAGTCGTGACAATCAGCTGGGTTTCAGCAATCTGTTGCTTTGTGAGTTGGCGATCACCAGTCAGCTCAGAAACTCGAATGCCGTAGGGCTCGAGCCGTTTGCCGAGGTTGCCGACTTGCTCCTGGACCAGAGCTTTTAAGGGAGAGATATAAATGATTTTGAAATCGTCGAGCATAATCTCTCCGGTCTCCGGGTTGCGATTCTTGCCGATCTCGCGAAGAATGGCAAGCATGGCAACATTCGTCTTTCCAGATCCTGTGGGAGCACAGACAAGCATATTGCCGTCATCGTGGAAGGCGGATGGGTAGCATTTGGTCTGAACTCGGTTGAGCTCCTTGGCACTGCCAAAGCCAATACGAGCCCATTCAGGCAGTTCAGTAGCGGGGATGTTCTTCTCCCCAGGGTCTCGCTTGGGTTTTGGCGGTGGTACATGGATCTCCTCGTATCCTTTAAATGTTCGCTTGGTGGAACCTTGAGGTAGCTTGACATTCGGGTTGGTCATCAGATGGTTGCCTTGATGGAAGACAAGGTTCTCCAGGTTGATCAGCCTCTTGGGCTGCAGACCGCCGACCAGGCCACCCTCTGCAGGCTTCTGTTCGGCGGCCGGTGCGCTAGGGACATCGACATCCATCAAATCGAGCTTGATCTTCTTCTCGGGACGACCTGCCGCTTCATCGCGAACTGTCTTGCCTCGAATTTCGTCCAAAATAGCTCGGTGGCCAGCCTCAACCATCTCACTTTCGACGAGATGGCGAGCATCGGCATCTTCGGCAACCCTGCGCCAACGCGTTACCCACACAATCTTATCACGGTTTGTCACGAATTTGGCGACAAGGTCTGGGTGCTCATAATCGAAAAGTTCCATCAGATCGTTTTCCACGTCTCGCAGGGATTTCTCTGTGCCGTCCTCCGCTTTGCCACCAAGTATTTCCAGAGCCTGTGTGGCCTTCTCCTGTTGTATATGAGCGTCGGTATACACAGAACCAATTTGACGTTGTAACCAGTAAGCGTCGATTTGCCGGGCAGGAACTATCAAGTACTTGTCCCGTCGTTGGTCGGCGCGATCTAGTCCACCGTCGATGACCATCTCTTCCTCAGCCTCAAGACCTTCGATATTCGCCTTCTCGGTCGTCGCAGCCTCAATATCGGGAGCTTCTTGTTCATCTGGCTCTTCATCGTCGGTCAGGTCATCCTCGTCTCGGACTTCGGTGACAGTGCCCATTCGCTCATCATCCTCGTCTTCCTCGTCGAAGACGACGGCAACACCCTGACGTTCATCGAGCTCTGCCTCTTCTTGGCCATCCATTCCGCCCTCCATCTCTTCGTCCTCGTCCTGCGCATCGTAGTCCGTAATCTTCTTCCCCAAATTTACAAGCTCATTGAACTCTTTTGGATTCATGGAGCTACCAAGCAAGTCATCAATCTCCTTTTTCTTGTCAAAGTCCTTCATATCTTCGTCTTTCAATAGCTCCAACACAGCATCTGCAGCACTCCGGACGACTTCGTGAGGGACATCACCCAGATGACTCGCAGTCATCGTGAGTATGAGATCGTAGGTCGCGCGGGTGGCGGGAGTTCGAGGGCGGTATTTCAACCCTTCTATGAGAGCATCGGCGGCGGAAAGAATACCCTGGCCGCGTAATTGTTGTTGCCCGCGACGTTTTCTCTGTTCTCGAGCGAGCACATCCTCCCCTTCTCGGATCGCACCTCGCTCGATATCTGTAGGTCCGACGGGTTTCTTCTTGGCTTTTGGCGCATCGTCATGCGCGACTCTTGAGCCCATCTCCCGAATACCGATGCGCCCGGCAAGGGATTCTGGGTCTCCGGTGGGTTCATCGTTGATGCGAGAAATGAAACGACGGTCCGCCTGGAGAACCAGGTTGGACATCGCCGAGTACTTGTACTGGGAGATATTTTGGTCCGCCATCTTGATGGTGTTTCAACTGCAATCAAAAAAAAATCCGACAAAGCAAGAACGATAGTGCGACGACTTCTTTCAGTCGTCCGGGCTCGGTGGAGCTCAGATTCAGCCGGCGCGTCGACACACCTGCGTCAAGAAATGAATTGTGGAAATAATTAAGTGTCCGTAAAGGCTTCACAAACCTGGATCATCCTCTTGCAGCAGGCAAGCTTACTCGTTATTGCAGGGTTGCAAGCTGCCTGTAGTGGTTGGATGGTTTGAAGGGAGATGGCGTTTGAAAGTTGTCGGGAAGTTCTTCTGCAGCAGATTTCAGTGGCAAAGCGGGAAGGTTTGGCGAGTGACACCTGAGATTTGAGCTTCCCGTTTTGGTTGTCGCCGCCCGCCATCTTACCACACCAACACCAACACCACTTTGGTGACTTGCTCAGCTCAAGGCCATGCGCATCAATGGATGTCGGTTGGCCCGGTTAGCCGCGTCGCAATTCCATCCTCTCCATAAACTTGACAATTCTGCCGCGCATTGTTGCCTTGTGCACCGAACGATCTGTCACCATCCGCGCCGTCCAGTCGCCCGCGTCGAGCCTTCGTTACCAACGCCTCATCTCGAGCTCAGAAGGGGGGCAAGAACGAGGACTACGGTCAAAGTCAAGGATCTACCGCAGGGAACATTGAAGCTCGAACCGTATGACGACGCTACGGACGATGCGCCTCGATATCCCACGGTCGTACAGGGACATCGGAATAACATGCAGAAATTCAGGAATTGTGTTATTTTGACTCGAGTAGGGGGCTTCTACGAGGTACGGACTTCGGACTGGCGGTTCAAGTAGAGTTAGACAGTCGTATTCTCTCTTCCGAAGGCAGCATAGATCCCTGACAGATTCTCCAGCTCTACTTTGAGCAGGCTGAAGAGCTAGCTCCGTTACTGAACTTGAAGCTCGCCTTCAAGAAGACCAGCGCGGGACCTGTTCCCATGGCAGGATTTCCCTTCTTTCAGCTAGATCGGTTTCTGAAGATACTTGTCCAAGACTTGAATAAATACGTGGCTATCAGCGAAGAGTTCGCCAATGCCGCTGAGGATAAAGCCCGGAGTGGTTTACTCTTTGATCGCAGGGTAGCCAGAATTATCACGCCAGGTACCCTAATCGATGAGAAGTTCATGGACCCTTCGGAGAACAATTTCTTGCTGGCGGTTTATATGGACGTGCCAGCCTTGAAAGCGCAGTTAGAACAACAGGAGGGTGATTTGTCTGCGCCGCAGCACATATTGTCATCCGCATCCCAACGCGTAGGCTTGTCCTGGCTCGACTTATCCACAGGAGATTTCTTCACACAATCGACTACCACTCAGATGCTTCCTTCGGCGATTGCTCGGATCGGAGCGCGGGAGATACTCGTGGACCAGAAACTTCAAGATCTCATCGGGCAGGAGCTGCAACTTTTGGTTGGGCATGACCATCGTTTGATGACCTTTTTCGCATATCCCAGCAACATTCTACCTATATCACAGTGGAGCTCTGTGCTTGAGGCGCCAATAGCTGACCAAGATCCGGATGCCTTCACGCCGGAAGAGATCGCAGCCGGTTATAGCTTGCTGGAGTATATCAGAGTCCAGCTGCAGGGCGTGAATCTGAAGCTTCAGCCGCCTCGTCGTCGACATCTGAACGAGTCTATGAACATTGATCGTAACAGTCTGAGAGGCCTGGAAATTCTCGAAACGGCGCGGGATGGCTTTGGAAAAGGAAGCTTACTACATGCGGTGCGCCGGACGTCTACCAAAAGTGGAGCACGTCTGCTGAGAGATCGCCTGAGTATGTCTCACCCTGTTCTGGCTTTTGCAGATTGCAGCTGTATGGACTGATATATTCGTAGCATCCCCTTCCACGTCATTGCAGGTAGTCAACGAACGACTCGATCTTGTATCGGTCTTTCTCGAAAATAATGATTTACGCGACAGTGTAATCCAACTGCTCAAGCGAAGCTATGATGCTCAACGCTTGGTCCAGAAATTTACATTGGGGAGAGGAGACGCAGACGACCTGATCTGCCTTGCCAGGGCCGTCCAGGCTTCGAGAGAGATCAAGATGGTTTTATCAACCCAAGATAACGGCTGGCTTGACAGTTTGCCTCATATACAGTCCATCGATGCCAAGCGTAGTCTCGCAGCTATGACTGGTCGACTCTGTCTGGATGGACCGACCATGCTGGCGGATCGGATTTCAGCTGCCATTGACGAAGAAGGTCTACTGCAGAAGCAGCGTCTTGAGGATGATACGGCTGCTGAAGCGGCGATTCTGGCACAGGAAGTAGCCATGAGCGAGGGTCTTCCTGGAGAAGTGGAGGCGCTTCCCAAAAAAGTGAGAGCTAAGAACAGCGATCAATCCAAGACCTCGGCGGAAGAAACAACCGCGCCTGACACTTGGATCATGAGGCGCAATGCCAGTGCAGCTCTTCTCGAACTACATGAGTCCTTGGACCGGCTGCAGGATGAAAAGACGCGTCTTACTCAACGTCTTCGGGAAGCCGTCGGATCTTCCGCCCTCTCGTTGAAATGGACTCCTGGCCTGGGACATATTTGCCATGTCAAAGGAGCCAAAATTTCCCAGCAGTCTCTAGAGGAGCTAGGTGTAACGCGGAATGTGTCTTCAACCAAGTCGACACGGTCCTTTTACCTTCCCGCCTGGACAGCGTTGGGTAACCGAATGGACCAGGTGAAAGTCCAAATCCGACAAGAGGAACAGGCGATCTTTGAGGCACTGCGCCGCGAAGTGATTATCAACCTAGTGAAGATTAGACGCAACGCAGCCGTAATGGACGAGCTTGATGTTGCATGTTCTTTCGCCACCTTGGCTCAAGAACAACGTTTTGTACGTCCGATCCTCACCAATGGAGTAACCCACAAGATCGTTGGAGGAAGGCATCCAACAGTCAAGCTTGGGCTCGAGGAGCAAGGGCGACAGTTTGTCAGTAACGACTGCTTCTTGGGCTATTCGGAGAGGATCTGGCTCATCACTGGCCCAAACATGGCCGGTAAAAGCACGTTCTTGCGCCAAAATGCGCTCATCACCATCTTGGCACAGGTTGGGTCATTCGTGCCAGCTGAGTATGCGGAGATTGGCATTGTAGATCAGATATTCAGTCGCATTGGAGCAGCTGACGATTTATTCCGAGACCAGTCCACTTTCATGGTGGAGATGCTGGAGACGGCCACCATATTGAAGCAGGCGACAGCGCGCTCCTTTGTTATCATGGATGAGGTTGGCCGCGGGACAACGCCAGAAGACGGGACAGCAGTCAGTTTTGCCTGTCTGCACCACCTGCACTACCGCAACAAGTGCCGGGCGTTGTTCGCAACCCATTTCCATGCTTTAGCGGACATGACCGATGACTTTGAGGCACTGGGGCGATACTGTACCGATGTGAAAGAGACCGCGTCGGGGTCGTTCTCATTTGTCCATCGGCTGCGCAAGGGAGTGAACCGTGATTCCCATGCGCTGAAAGTCGCGCAGCTCGCAGGCTTGCCAAAGGAGACCCTAGAGATGGCCAGTCGAGTGCGACAGTCGTTGGGTAACCGCGCTCCACGGACTTCAGGCGGCAGCGATAGCCATACTATCGCGGCAGCAACCGCGTAGTGCTTGTTATTCCTGACCCTCTATGTCCATGTACCATATCTTCTCGTGGGTTGCATTTTTACTCGAGATACCAATCTAGTCATGCTTAACGTACATTCATAATACATTCATAAATGCGCTCCTCTATGGACAAATGACTCCATTCCAGACGTAGGCAAGGATACCACCTCCAAGCGTTTTAGAGCTTGGAAGCACCCGGCGTCCGACTCCTCCCCAAATCAACCACAATCCCTTCCCCAAATGCAGCCTCCTGCACATCCTCCTCATCCACCCCATTGACAAACTGCACCACCACAAAATCCACCCGCCTGGAACCCAGCACCACCATCGGCGCATGCCACGTCCCAACCCCATACGTCACCGCCTGCCCACCCCGCGCCACAAACGCCCGCACATTGTTCAAGTCGGGGGGATCCCTGATCGTCACGGTGTCCCCCGAAGGCGCAGTCGCTGTTGCCGTCTGGCCCTTCAACGTCGGCGCCACGATAACCAGGTAGAATGGTTCCTCGGCATCGCCTGCGCGGTTCTGGCTGGATAGGTCGATGGGTGTGAATGTCTGCGTAGTGAAGGGGTGTCGCTCCAGGATGCGGACGTCGAAGACGCTAGTCTCCCCTCCTGTTGCTTTGACGGTGCGCAGTTTGCGCGGGAAGCACGAGAACATGCTCATGCGGGCGGAGGAGGGCTGGCCGCTGGGACATTGCGGGTAGCGGTCGAGCAGCGGGGAGATGGGGCTGTACTTGAGGGCGGAGGATTGGTTTGCGACGACTGGAGCGGGATCGTGAGGAGGGAGAGAGGAGAGAGAAGGCGCGGAGGAGAGATCGCGTGGGAGAGGACAGCTGATGGCGGTGCCGAAGGGCGCGAAGGCCTCTTTCGTGAAGGGTTCGGGGATGATGCGGAGAGTTGGGCTGGAGGTGAGGATGGGCGCCATGGTGTTTTGGGGTTTGCAGGGTTGGTTGAGACTTTGGGGAAGTGTGTAGTGTATAAATCTCCTTTGAACTCAATTGCAAGGACCAGCCTCGCAGAAGCTGAGCGTAATGCCGGGTTAATAACTCAGGAGAACAGTTGACAATGACTCCATCAAGTTGTCGGCACTCGCCGTATGTGGCAGCCGCTAAAAGCAGCTTCGGGAGAGGCCGACTATCATCGACACTTCACCCATCGACTCTGTTCAGAGGCTCATTTCGCACCCTTAAATGAGTGTTCAAATTATGCATCCTATGCTAATCGCTGATACAATTCAATTTCCTGCTTCGAAAAGAGATTTGTTTGTTGATGATCAGCGTCAACTGGTTCACAGTACTCCTCTAACCAGTTGACAGGATTTCTTGGTCGTACATCAACACACCCATACAACAGATGGCTCACCACTCCGTCGCAATATTACGGACCAACACCGGTCTGTATCAAAATGCAGCAGAAGGATTGACGGGCCCAGAACAACAAGTCTCCTCTAGACAAAATATGGATTCTCCTTTTCTTCCCCGCATTCCCGCGTTCCCGCAACTCCTTGCAACCGATTGGCATCGGCCATTAACCGAGGCCAGGGTGTCGTCGACAGGGACAATCAGAGACTCCAACCGACTACGATAAGTCTTTTGCTGCTATAAGTATATCGAGGGTTACTGCTAGAAGCTCTCCAAGTAATTGTCTCAAATTCAAGCAACTTCACCATTGTACTCTCAAGCAAAATGGCCTCAACGTCCGACCTGCCGAGGAAGCTCTGGGAGCATTCTAACCCGCAGTCTACTCAGATGTGGGCTTTCAAATCGGAGTTAGAGAAAGAGAAGGGACTTCAGCTTCCAGTACGTACCTTGGACTGGTATCTTGCTCTCTGTCGTCGCCTAACGCAATTGCTAAGGACTACCACTCTCTCTGTCGGTGGTCAACGGACAATCGTGCATCCTTTTGGGACTTTTGCTGGAGATACTTTCCCATCATCTCTGAAGGCACTTATAGGACCGTTGTAGATGAATCAGCCCGCATTGACAGCATCCCCACCTGGTTTGAGGGTGTGCGACTCAACTTTGCCGAGAATATGCTGTTTTCGGCGGAGAGGTCAAGCTCGGGGCATCTACAGATTACAACGAAAGGCAAGGAGGACAATAAAGTTGCTCTGACAGAAATTAGGGAGGGGGGGTCAGAACCATCTTCCAACGTTACATGGGCCGAGTTGCGACGCAAGACAGGGGGAATGGTGCAAGCACTCAAAGCAGCTGGGGTTGTCAAGGGAGATCGAGTCGCCGCTGTAGCAAGTAACAGCGTCGATACGCTTGTCGTTTTCCTCGCAACGACGGCTCTTGGAGCATGGTTCTCCTCAACGTCCACTGACACGGGCGTCAAAGGAATCCTCGATCGTCTGCTCCAGTTGAAGCCAAAGTACGTCTTTGTTGACGATTTCGCAATCTACAATGGGAAGCGGATTGATCTTCGACCAAAAATCAAGGACATTGTCGATGGTCTCCGGGAAGTTCCCGAATTTGAAAGCATCATCGCGATGCCACGGTTCCCAGGCCAGCCAGTCGATGTGACCCGCGTGCCCAAAACCCAACCCGTTGCAGCCTTTCTTGCAAGGGCTCCGTCAGACAAGCTCGAGTTTGTCAGGGTTGGGTTTCGGGATCCGTTCCTGGTTGTGTACTCATCCGGGACAACCGGGAAACCCAAGCCCATCGTTCATGGAGTAGGCGGTGTCATACTCAACACCTACAAGGAGGCTCGGCTGCACCGTGATCATGGACCAGATTCAACGGTTTTGCAATACACCACCACCGGGTGGATCATGTATCTGTCTGCTGTATCAGGGCTAATGTTCGGCGGCAAAGCCATCTTGTACGATGGAAGTCCCTTCCTACCAGACGCCAAGTTCCTCATCGAGCTACTGGGCAAGCATAGAGTGACTCATTTCGGCACATCACCGCGCTACCTCCATGAGCTTCGGAAGAACAACATAGGACCAAGGGACATTGCAGATCTCAGGGCACTCCGCATCGTCACGAGCACCGGCATGGTCCTTTCGGAATCCTTGTTTGAATGGTTCTACGACGAGGGCTTCCCATCTCATACGCAGTTGGCTAATATCTCCGGCGGTACCGATCTCGCCGCCTGCTTTGGCTTGGAGAATCCGCTTACTCCTCTATATGTGGGCGGATGCCAAGGTCCAGCTCTGGGTATTCCTATCGCAGTATTCGATCAAGCGGATGAGGGTGCTTCTGGTGTCAAAGGCACTGCGGTTCCGGATGGTGTGCCAGGAGAGTTGGTAGCCACCGCAGCATTTCCAACTATGCCAGTCAAATTCTTGGGCGATGACGGGCCACAGAAGTACTTTGACTCATACTTTGCCCGGTTTGACAGTAAGTCTCGTTCTCATCTCCACCCCCTCAATCGCACCTACTAACCTGTGATGTGTAGATGTCTGGACCCACGGCGACTTCATCTGCATCCACCCCGTCACAAAACAAATCCTCTTTCTGGGCAGATCAGATGGCGTCCTCAACCCCTCAGGCGTCCGCTTCGGATCCGCGGAGATCTACAACGTAATCGACACGCAATTCTCGACCGAGATAGCGGATTCAATCTGCGTCGGCCAGCGACGGCCAACCGACGCCGACGAATCTGTCATGCTCTTCCTGTTAATGCGGCCGGGATTCCAGTTCACGCCGCAGCTTGTCTCCAGAGTGAAAGAGGCAATCAGGAAGGCATTGAGTGCCCGGCATGTGCCGAAGTATGTCTTTCAGACGCCTGAGATCCCGGTACGTGCTCCTCTTTACGGTCTTAGACGGGACTTAAACTATGACTAACGTGGTCCAGACGACGGTGAATCTGAAGAAGGTAGAATTACCGGTAAAGCAGATCGTATCAGGCAAGAAGATCAAACCGTCGGGTACTCTGCTCAACCCGCAGAGCTTAGATTACTATTACCAGTTTGCGGAGGTGGAAAAGCTGGTCGATGTCAAGAGCAAGCTGTAGAGTGGGCTTTGCACAAGTCACTGATTTTCAGAGCCCTCCTCATGTTTTTCAATGGTAGACTAGCTTAGAACAATCGCATGCTTGTTGACTATGAACACTCTTGGCCAAGCACACAGCTCTCAATAACCGAGACCATCCATACGTAGTCCGAAAAAGACAGAAATCAGACACACAAAGACTATCTCAGGGCTGCATAGAATCCACAAGGTCACGAGTCGGATGAGAGCGGGATAGAAGCAAAGGGTATCATGCTGCTGGAGAGAAACGAGCCGAGGAAACGCAACAGTAGCCCAAGCATCTCATTGACAATGAAAGGATGACTAGGAGCAAGACACAGGCGGTGCTCGGCATTGACTACCCTTTCGACCATAACAATCAGTCACTCAACGGGTAGTTTTGTAAGCCGAGCCCTTCCCCCGTGCATGCTTTTGCGAGCGCAGATTTCAGTGTAAGAAGAGATGCGGCATTAACACAGCGTGGCTTGCCAGCAGTGCAATGAGTCGTTTTCGATTGAAGGCTTTCATGCACCGAGCATAACGAGGCACTATCCATATGGCTTGTAGCCTTGATTATAGCCCCGAGGTGAAGAGAGTCGCAGCAGAAATGGCAATAAACGGTCTCGCCCTTGAGGCGTGAAGTCTCGGCTGAGAGCACACTCTTCGCTTTGTCGGTTGCAGTCCTCCAGCCCTTAGTAATGTCGTCTAGAAAGTGGGTTTGTAAGTTAGCACTATGGCCGTAAAATGCATTGGATCGAGACCCGAAGCTTCCTGGGCCAATAAAGGATATAGGGAGATGGTTAGGACAACAATACCTTTGACACGCTCTGGAAGGTTGAGGTCGGCAGGATATGTAGACGACAAACATCTTCGAGACATGGCAGCGCTCGTGGAGCTTGTAAACAAGGAATGGAATCCGAGAGCCCAGCTGATATAAGCCCATTTCAAGCAGTTGTCCCATGTGTCGTAGACTACTTTCTTCTCCTCAAGCAACCGCTTTATCCAGAGTTCGACGACAAACGTACATGCCTCTCGACAGTCGAGGTAGCGAACCACAGCAGCAACTTTCAAAAGCATCGCTGCGTCCACCTCCTTCGGTATCCGCTGGCCCTGCCCGTGTATGATGTTCATGACTATCAGGAATGCTCCAGGGTCGCAGTCTATCATATGGACTTCGTCATATCCTGGCTCATCGGAGGTGCTAGTTGGAGAGATACGTTTCTTGAGATGGTCCTTGAAGTAATTAGATGCTAGGGTGAGGTGTTTCGACGAGACTTTGAAGCGGGTCTGCGGTGTTTCAACAGCGACTGATGCAGGTTCCTTTGAATTAGCAGGCTTCTCTCCTGCATTCATTTTGATAGATGCATTGCTATTAGCTTCTGTAGACGCTGGAGAAGTTGATGGCACTGGATTTGTTTGTGTTATTGGCTCAGTCAGGCTGGTCGTGACTGGGGCGCGGCGCTGTGCGGACAGGACTAGGACAACATCGCCAGAAGCGTCGATCAGGTAGCAGGTGCCGCTCATCCTATCTTGTTAGAATAAAGTCTAAAGAAGTTCGATGTGTGAGGAGGTCCATACTTGATGCTCGAGTTGTAGTTGCTTGATAAAGAGAAGAGAAGGTTAAAACATTCAGTCCAGAGAGAGAAGGTTGAGACAGTCAGTGCAGAGAAGAGAAGGTTGAGATGGTCAGTCAACGAATGATGGCAGTTCTGTTGTCAGAGAGAGAGTAGAGTGTTGCTATAGTGATGCTTATATTTATTAACCTCACTTTCACCAGTACTTCTCAAAACAGTGTCAGCATATTCTGATGATTTGCTCACTGGTAAGGAGAAGATATATCAAGGACACCAGAGAATGGGCTTCTAAGAGAATCAGATTTTTAATATATGAACAGAATTAGGAAATTCACTGCATGTACTGGTTAAAACTAGAGTTACATTGAGTCTTAAGAGAGGTGAATTTGATAATGCATTTGAAAGGATTAGAGAACATTCAATTGCTGTGTTTTACTTGATGAATGTATAAGAATCACCTGAGGCCTGAGGGCTTTCAACAAGTCAAACTGCATATGTACTTTCAAACATGTGGTCCTTCTGACAACGTCAACGCCATTGTTCTGGTATCAAGATGAGTCCAGATGATTTTGTTCGAAGGTATATGAGCTCTTCGATTGCTCTAGGTCCAAGAAGCCCACTGCACCGACCTTTGCAGGACACCTTGGAGCTCGGTTTTTCGAATTCAAGGATCTTCTTATCCACACTTTCTGGTGCAAGGCCTTTATAATCGAGGTTCTCACGGGGCCATGGCAGTCTGTGAGCCTTCATTTGCTTCATAAGTGAGCCTAGTCTGAACGAGTCGCATTCGAAAGTGCAGGTGATTTGGCCATTCTCTAATTTATGCCGCCTCACTTCCACATCTCTGAGTAAAAGGTACAGCAGACTTTTCCTTTTCAGATTGATCGTGTCTTTCTTTGTAAGCGTAACTTCTCCAAGATGGCTCATATGGGCTCACCTGTAACAGATAGCGGTATAGGAAGATCCAGCGGGTTGATGATGTCCTTGCTCTGTCGTATCGCCAAGCAGGTAACAGATGCGTAAAGCTCGCAGTCATTAAACACCCCGGAAACAAAAATCCACTTGACGATCTCATCACAGTAAGCGTTGGGACGTTTCGCCTTCCACGGTTCGATCCATCTCGCGGGATACAGCCCGAGAACCCCATGGCATTTGAAGTAGTCGACTTGGACAGCCAGCTCGACCAACTCGTCAAAGGTCACCGAAGTAGGAACTTCCTGCGTGCGGCAGTGCATTAGATCAAGCAGGATCGAGAACGTCTCAGGATCAGTATCGGGAACATCTATCTCGACGCGGCCGTTCTTCTGCAATTCTTCGCCCGCGCCCAATTCTTCCTTCAGCCTCTTTTCGAAGTATTGCGAAGCCAAGCTCAGATGCTTAGAGGAAGCTCGGTATCTGACGACTCCTGCCTCTCCATCCGAACAAATCCTGGAGGGTGCGTATGCGCGAGGCTGCTTTGGTGGGGATACCATAAGGACGACATCCCCGTTTGGATCAGGTTCACTGGCTCTGTTCACTTCTGGATTCATTTCTAATTCGTTATCCTATTGAAAAAGGCTGCGGAAATGGTATAGAATATTTCTGAGGATGGAGCCGAGGATATCATAAGGAGGTCCTCTGAGTTCTTGTTGATTAGTGAATACTGAGTGGCATTCTGTGAATCTGATTACCTATGCCTTAGGTCAGATCCTTCACCATGCCAATAATTTGACTGAGTAGTTAATGATAAGTACTTTTCAATCCAGTGCATGTTTTAGTTCCACCTGAATCTTGCCTCTATGACATGACTGTATTCAAGTCTATTGCAGACTGACTCCATGAGTATAGGGTTAGGGCCCGTACTAATGGCTTTGTTCACTTCTACAAAGTCCGCTTCAATAATGGCAGTATACCCTTTGTAGATTCACTGAAGCTTTAAGTACTGTGTACAGTGAAGAGATACGCTGGCTCTAGGCCTTACTTGGACTGGGTGACAGGAATGTTCTGATTAGACTTCCTAGAACATCCCACCCATAACAGACACGAAATAACATAATTGAAAAATAGCCTCATACTTTAGCTGTTGTATTCTTTGGACAATGTGAAGTCACTTCAGAAAGTCCTCTATACTGGTTGTCATGAACACCATCTCCCCTATCCGCCTGCGGCAGGGATCCCAGCTAAGTTGTCAAGTCAAGCTGACTAGACACAGACACCGTGTCCTGAATTTATGTGGAGACAGCCCAAGCCCTTCGCATGAGATAAAACATAATCCAGGGTAAAAGTGAACAAGACGGGAAAACAGACAATGTACCCATTCTATACGCCAGGTATACTCCATGGTAAGTATGCAGACCTCCTGACCAGCGGTGCGAGGAGTAAAACACTGAACAGAAAAGACAATCCAGAGAGCCGTCTATTTGTTGTGTATCAAGAAGTTGCGGAATGAATCCCAGTGATCCGAGTCGGCGTAGCTGAAAAGCATTAGTATCTGAAGATATCGTCTGGCCAAGGTCAAGACGTACATGTATACCATGCTGCTTCTCAGACTCGACATAAGCGTCTCCGGATGCCAACGGAAGATGTACATAACAAGTGCCCAGCTGAGACTTGCAAATACTGGCCATGCATTGGCCTCGATTCTTGCGCGCGACTCGGGAGTGATCAAGGAGGAGAGAGGGTGCATATTCGGCTGGACAGAAAGCTTGGCAAGAGCAAGTACTACACGAGCAAAGACGTATATGACGATCTGCACAGGCACATTAGTTTCAATTCTCTCCATCTCAAACTTCGAATTGATCTCACCTGCTGGGTAATGCTTGTTTTATGTCGACCAAAAACTGCATATCCTCCCAGCAGACCCGCAAAGAAGCTGTCATAGCGGCCTTCTTTCCCGACACCAGTAGGATTGACGTTGCGCAGAACTATCATGGAGCTTTTATATATAAGAGCAAACGTTGCCAGGTTCCGAGCATGCTGGCGTGTGGCTTTCAGGACGAGCCCGACCTTTTCTCGGAATCTGAATCTAGAAATCAGTATTTCGGCAATACTCGGCATGTCGATAGGATCGCCTTACGTTCCAGAGCGGAAGAGAAAGATCATTCTGTACGAAAAAAGACATCTCGCATTAGCTGGATTCTCAATGTCAAGCTTGCGTGGTTCCGCCAGCGGATTCGGACGTACACCAAAGCGTGCGGAAACCGCACTTTCGACCCGTATATAATGCCATTGCGGGCACCCTTGACGAGCGACAGAAGGGGCGCGAGCTGGGGGTCGAGGACAACGGAATCCAGGCGAGACTAGACAGCGATCAGAAAAGCGTGCGATATAGTTGGATTGACAAAGCCGAGTGAAGCGTCAAGCATACCAGAAGTGCATCCATGGTGTCTGCGGGACCTCGGTAGGTTGATCGGACCAGCGACGGATCAGATTGATGTCTACCGACGGAGAACACCAGGTGTCAGGAGGGTCAGAATGTAGGAAGGAATAGATTTAGGGAACTACCAGGAACGGAATGATAAGGTACAAATATGGATGGGCATGATCCCATCATCAGGACAGACGGCGGGGGAACGGTATTTAATGGACTGCGCTTCACCCGCGCAACTGCAATGATCCTCGGCATGTGAGGCCACCAGGAGCACAGACGTCATGTCACGTGATTATACATTATCCAGCAGTTGTCAGTATCACGAAGAATAGAGAGGTAGAGAGGTACTTTTTCGAATAATGTATTGAAGGAATCGTCGAGCTGTCTATCTTTAGATCGGAGCAAATATGAACTCAAAAGGCTTAAATGGGAGGCAGGATGATAAGAACGAACGGAACATTGACTCTTGCTTCTAGGGTAATGACAAAGGAATGTAGAAGCATCTCAATCAGTGCAAGTAGTACGCTCAGTTAATAGAAGAAGAATAAAATCATTTTGATATATGCTGGATACTTTTAAGCTATAGTGACCATGAATGAAACTGATCGATCTGCTCGACGACTCGACAGAGAAACCAAACCACCTGAACGCCTTATGCGGTATAGATAGACAAAGTATCATGCGTCAAAAACATCGCCAGATAAACGGAGACTGCAGTCTATTCCGTTCTCGCCTTCTTCCGTCCCTCATCATCCGAGACTTCGTCCACGTCCATCATCTCCGCATCCTCCTCATCAGACTCCACACCAGCACGTCGCTTCAGACCCTTCATCTTCCTCGTCTGCAGGCCAGACAGATCCTGCTTGCCCAAGTGCACACGACCGATCTTGTCACCCATGACGTCCATGCCAATGTTCTTCTTCGTCTTCATGTTCTCATTAGGTCTCTTGCCCTGCTTCATGGCCTCCTTCAGAGCATTCTCGGGTGCCTCGTGCAGACGACCGACCTTGAAGTCGAACTTGGGCCCGATCTCATCCAGCTCAACGCGGGGGAGCTTGTGTCCACTGCGCTTTGTCCGAAGCTTGTACCATCTGAGATGAATAATAGGAGCCAGGCCGTCGGTAGGCTCCTCAGCGGCAATCATCAACACATACTGCAGTCCCTCGACATCGATCTTATCCGTCTCCTCGCCCTTGAACATATCAACAAACATGCTCTTCAGCATAACGTGAGCAGTAGAGGTGGAATCTTCCCACGCAGTACCAGCGAACAGTAGCATAGGCCGTAAACCAATTCCGATCTGCATCTTAAGGTTGTTGATTGAAGGGATCGAGTCTCCGTCCGGGTTAGGGAGCAGCATCAATTCGCACATGTCCAGGAGCTTGGAGTCGAATATCCGCGCCACAGTCAGGCAGTTGGGTCTCTTCTTG